TAGAACACTGACCCATAACATAACAAGACAATGCAGGATGACTGCTGTAACTGCTTTAAGAAAATTAAACAAGGCTTCAAATAACATCTGATGCACAACACTGGAAGTAATGAATTTCTGAGTAAACCTTACCGTTCTTTGTTGAATGTTGACAGTCAACGTTGTGTTAACTACATCAAAGAGGGAAAAAATCAGCAAGCAAATGGAGATTTTTATATTGAAAACATATTGAATATTATTCACTTAAATCAGAATTATAAGAGTAGTGCAGACATGCCATTCCTATCTTCCTGTTGCTCTTTTTAGGCTGTTAATGCAAAATCTATGGTGATAGTCTCATAATTTAGTGTCTAACGAATGCTAATGTGATTTCTAATTACCTTTCTAAATTCCTATATAATATAATGAAATATAATGAAAACATTTTAAATGTTGTCTAGCTTTCATATTAATGCCTACATGCAAAGATACTTTTTTCCCTCAGGCAGTAAAGCCATGCATAAACTATCTAAATAAATTGTAAACAGTTATAATATTTCACAAATTATTGTCTTGATTCTACATGACTTGTGAGCTGTCAGCTGCGGCAAAGAATAAAAGTGGTATAAGTGACTTCTTTACTGTTACTAAGGAGATGAGTTTTTTCAAAGTTGCTTTGTGTTAACAGGCTAAGAACTATAGTTCTGATTTTTTTTTTTTTTTTTTTTTTTTTTTTTTTTGTAAGCTTGAAGTCCAAACTTAGATTTGCAGGTCTTCTTTCTAATGTTTTATAGCCATTATTTTTCTGCAACAAAACAGTTGCATTTAACTGCACTATTGTTTAGAGAACTGTATGCCTTCCTTTGACTCTACTGCTATTATATCTAAGGTGACTTGCAGGCAGCATTTACTTTCTGGTAACATTTAAGAGGATGATTTAAGATTTTGTAAGGGTTGGTGAAAAATCAATAGTAACTGATGTTCTCATAACATGCCTCCAGTGTGGAAGGTAAGTCAAGGGAAAAAGGTTATTTTCTTTGACTTAAGTGGAGAGTCTTCTAATATATATTAAAAGTGCTCAGTTTCATGTTGGGCACCAGTTTTGAAACATAGCCTGTAAGTTCTGTAAACATTTCACTGTTTTCCCCTAACAATAGGAATGGTCAATTAAATTTAGAATCAAGACATTGGATTATATTTTCTAAAATCATATCTGGAAATATCATTTATCTGTCACAAAAAAAATTATTCTAGATAGAACTACTTCTTTTTTTTTTTAATGTCTTATTATTCCAAAAGCTGTATCTTAACAGTGAAAGAACATAAAGTTTAACTGTACAGAAAATGGAGACCATAAACAGATTGGAACTGAAATGAAAGGGGAAAAAAATTTCTATTAAGAAAAAAAAAAGGTCAAACGTAAAATAAACTTTTGTAAACCTTTTTTGAACATGATTTTGCAATATGTGGGAAAACTCATTCTCATATTTCTCACATAGAAGCCAAAGAAGAATAAGATCCAGATAATGAACTTTTACATAGCATTGAATTTATCTTTTTTTTAATACTTTATCATTTCAGTGAAAATTGAAAATCATTTTGTTTGAAAAAGAGATGTAATATTTCTATTTTTCAGTGCTCAGTTACCAGAACAATGGAACTGTCTGGGAGCTAATCTTGTTTATTTTTTTCAGACATTTGATATTTTAAAATACATAGCATACATAAAAATAAATTTAGTAAATGAAATAATTAAATCATATTTTTAATACAACATATGCAGATAAGTTCCCATGAATTTAATTTATACAAAATAATTTGAAAATACAGAATAGAAGAATTTTCTAGATAAAATAACTATCTCAAAATTGTGTTAAGACTGTCAGTCTTGCCAACATTTCTTATTTAATGATTTTTCAGATCCAGGTAAAAGTCTCAGATAAAATGTGTCGACACATTTCTTGAGATCTCATTTTCAGGTTATTTCAGAATGTTGGCATTAAGTGCATGTATATTCTTACTTTTTGGCTACTGATTGTAATACTGATATTACCTAAAAATGTATACCCTTTGGTAAGTGTTTGCAGATCGTTGCAAAAGTCTGGGTGGATTGGTGCATCTTGAAAAGGATTCACTCTGTTCTGGCACTCTTGTTAGATATCTTGGCAAAAAAAAAAAACAAGGGACACAATCAATCCTGAGAATGTTAAGCACTAATGAACCATTTTTAAGTTTAGACAGATTTTGTGCCTCAGAATGCTCCAGTTAGGTCTTTGATTCCAGAGATGAGAACCATATAATGATTGGAGATGATGTAACGCCGAGAGTTGCGGCATTTACTTCTTAATGGATTCCCATGAAACTCCTGAATTATGTGCTAGGTTCACCACATAGTGAAAATGCCAATATCTGCAAGCCTTAGCAATTTAGCCTGTGAACCATTAGGGGATGTTAAATTAAATCTTGCTCTTTCAAATTAATTCAGGGCTAATTTCAGACTCATAATCATAACTGCAGTTCTGATGTTAAGCAACAGCACTTTCTTAAAAAAAAGAAAGTCTAGGGGAATTGAATATTTTCTTTCAAAGTACATCTGGATAAGAAGGAGGTATAATCTCCTGCTTTCTATACAATGCTAAGCAAAGATACTTAGTGCATGAAGATCTGATATATTACAGCTCAGACCATGTAATTAGAAATTTTAGCCACCTCATTCACACAATAAAAGCTGTAAATTCTATCTTGGATATCAATCCAGTGCACCAAAACTTTTTCAAAAGGGATTGCTAATGAGTGCCCATTGCAGAAGTCACTCCATGTAGCCCACTAGAAATGATGAACTTTGTCCTGAACTTTGGTCTCTGAAGGGCTTGTGCTTGACTCTGCACGGGAAATATACCTCTCTCTCCTTTAGATTCCCAGTTTAAACTTTACTTAGTTGTAGGTGGCTATACACTTTCTGTCATAAGTTGAGTAGGTGTCATTCCTTTATGTCAAACTCAGCAGGGGAAAGAAATGTTTGAAAGGAAGAGTATCACAGCCAGAGTAAGATTTCCCTTTGCTTCTGACCTGCCTATTCTCTGCCACTGTGTGCTCTAATCCCTAATCTACAGAACAACCCATCATTCTCCCTCTCTCCCTTTCTCCCTCTCTGCCTCTGTTAACTGCATCTGTGTAAAGTGGAACAGGAAGAGTAGGTGGAAAGGTGTTTTTACCTTGAAATTTTCTAATGCCTGTAGGTTACAGCCCTTTGCTGAGACACTGAAGCTTAAATCTTCTCCAGCAGAAGAAACTTTTGAATTGACCCTCTCAAATGTGTCTCTCATTCAGCTTTAATGCTCCAGCTGATGAATGGCTGCGCAGAAGAAAGTTGTAACCTCTGCCATGTGTCCTTCTTTAGCAGTTGCTACTTTTTTGAGGAACCTGATTTGTTAGGTCCTTTCAGAGCACACCTACTGAATTGATGGCCTTACACAGGGAGAATTTGAGTACGAATTTTGATGGGTTCTAGGGCTAAGCCAAGCACCGATGTGTTTAGTAGAACTTCTGACTATGGCCAAGTGAATCTATGAAGTTTAATGTGGAAAATTGAGTGGCTTACTGCTCGAAGTGCTTTCAACCCTGGAGACTGGAAACTGAATGCAGATTTTGATAAACGCAGTTTCAATTTAGGCTCCCAAAGAACTAGGCAGGGTGAGGTGCTTAAATATTTTGTAGATCTAATCTCCAAACTCCAGGTTTGTATGAATAATGGAGATTTAAAAGTTTACAAATAAAGCAGAGTACTTGATTTGGAAAATAAATTAGAAAATTCTATATTGACTGATGATCTACCACTAATCACACAAAATCGAAAAATCAAGAGATATTCACAGTAATTCCAAGTGCTCTGTCTTTTTGTTTTTCCCTTTTTTCGTTTTCTTTTTCTTTTTTCTTTTCCCAGATTGTCTCCCTGGACTGGAAATTAGTTGTTAAGAAGCAAAATGCAAAGCAATAGATTATATTAAAACTTACTTTGACTGACAACAATTGTCAGCAGTTTATCATAATGTCTCAGGCTCTGGGAAGTGTTATTTAGTTAATACATTTCTTCATTATCTGGAAAAAAATTAAGTTAAAGTATATTATAAAAGTGTTCGATTCGCAGACCCCAAAACTGAGACTCATCTTCCTTACTTATATATTTCTTCCATACTCCAAATCTCACACTGAGGAGAAGCTAATTGCTTAGCATACTATCAGCAGTTGAGAATTCAGTCAGAATGAGTAACGGAGATTTTATTTTACTTTTCAAATTTCTTGGACTAAAAAATGAAAAAAAGGGCTTTGAGGATCTAGATTTTGATGAAAACATGTTAAAAAACTGTTTTTTCTGATAATATGCTTTTCATAAATATCAATGAAACTGAATACTTTTTGCAAATATGTACTCCACAAATGATAGTCAGTAGTGGAAGAAGTGTTTAGCTACAGAAGATATTTAAAATAATGGAGTAGATACTTGTTTTCAGTAATGGATCTGCATTTTAACAGTATTTCAACATTAATTTAGGTAAACTTGCTACACTAAGGCTTGTTGTTTTGTTGAGGAACAACTATTTAAATCACATAGAAATGAAATGTATTATTTTGAAATATGGGCAAGTAGATTTTCCTGAACACCTAATATACATGTTACATTCAGATGTTATCCTCTAAGGCTAAACTATGTTAACAGAACATCTACTTGAAATATTTTTATGTGTTATATGCATCCATAGTCAGTAGCTGTCAGATAAATAATTGTAGAGACAAGGTGATTTTTTCTCTCAGTCATCACAGCTTGATAAGTCATTTTTTATTATTATGTGATGTATATTTAAAAAAAAAACAAACAGCAATTTGTTATGATCTCCAGGCTGAGACAAAGCAAACTTGCAGGACTGACAAGGCTGTGCCAATAGAGTGAATCTACTTCTAGACATTGCAGTTTGACATTTCTTACAGATTTCTTTTTCTTCTTCTTTTATTTCCCTCTGTAGAGGTCCTTCTGTAGTGCCATGGTAGAGGAGCTAAGGATGTCTCTGAAGTGTCAGCGTCGATTAAAACACAAACCACAGGCCCCCGTTATTGTGAAAACAGAAGAAGTCATCAACATGCATACATTTAACGACAGAAGGTTGCCGGGTAAAGAAACCATGGCATAGAGCTGGGAAGCCAAATACCCCAAGCACAAACTGTCGTCTTTTTTCCAACCAACCTTGCGAGAATGTTTCCTGTGGAAATATGCAACCTGTGCAAAATAAAATGAGTTACCTCATGCCGCTGTGTCTATGAACTAGAGACTCTGTGATCTCAGCAGTTGCAATGGCCAGACTCGAATCACAAGCATCATGGATCAACCAAGTTATGCAAGGTTACACTGTTCGTCATGGGTTTCCACCATTCTGAGTGAATGAATGTTCTATGTGAGTTTTGTGGCTGGTTTCAAATGCAGTCTCAGTGAGAAATTACAGGTTCCTTTTGAAGTTCAACTGTTGCCAGGAGATAGAGAATGGATGTCCAAGATTATATTAACCACAGAAGGAGTCTAGCAAAAGTATTATCTCAGTACACTAGTGGAACAAGAAACCATATGTTCTTCTGAACTTCCAAGCATAGAAGAGTTGGTAACTGCTGGTAGACTGAAACTACCATCTGAAGAGGCAATATGAGTTTCCTGGATGGGAGAAATGCTGAAGTGAAGAAATATGAATCCAGTGAACAGAAGGATAAATATGAGGATGTTCATCTGCTTTTTGGACTGTCTGTGTCACTGAACTAAGTAAATAAATAATAATAATAAAAAAAATCAGTAACTTAAATTTACCTGGGCTGGAACTTTGATCTAAAAAAACCCCAACCAAACAAATAAAAAAAAACCCAAAATCCATAATTTTGACCCAATTTCTAGATGAATGAAAGTTTCCTTAGTACAAAAGAATGTATCTTACAACCTCTAGATATAAGCAATTACTTTTTTTCTTTAATTGTGAAAAGAGGGAGGGGCGTGGGAAGCAGTATATTTCACACATAGAGGGCTTGCACTTTAGCCTGAATGGGTTTTGAGACCCTTATTCCTGCTACTAATGGAACTCAATGGAGCCTGTGCAATTCTCACTAATATTGGAAGTGGGATAGGTCACCTAGAAGTGAATATGGAGAACTTTAAGGAGGACTGCATTTTTCAATACAGTCACAGTACTAAATGAACAAAATTCTTGAGCAGTTTTTTTTTTTCCAAAAAAAAAAAAAAATGTTCAGGTTTATTTGTGGAAATGCAAGATTTCTATGAAAATAGTTTTTGTATGGAAATTTTTGTAATACTTTTTATCAACAAAATAAGAACATGTGTTTCTGTCAGGGGTGTGATGCCAAGCATGAATGGTAGTGCGTGTGCACCACCAACGTTTGGTGAAAACTATTTTTATCAAGAAAAAGGAATCTTAGAAGAGACATATTTTCAAGTTAGATAATATAAAAACTAGGTGCACTACCACCACTGCTTACCATGCTACACCCCTGGTTTTCACTAGGCTGATAACATGCTGTCATGAACAATTGTGTGTAAATGGTAAAAGACACAGACCTCTTGACCACATTGTGATAACAGTTAAAGTGCACTCAGTTTGTTGTTTGAATCCAATGCACAAAATTAAAAAAAAAAAAATCATTAAAATTATGTCATTTTTAGTTGTTTTGGTTTTGCTGTGTGATTTGAGCAACATTTGTACAGTACTTTGTGTCAGTACTGGTACTCAGCCTCAGTTTAGTACCCTGTCTCACTGATTCTCGCCACTAAATGAGTGGCCAGAGAGTTTGCTGGGATTTCTGAGAGAAGCCAGTACAGCACATTGTGATAAGTTTTTGCAGGATCTGGCTCTTAGCTGCTTCAAAGCTAATTTATATATCCTGCCTGTGGTAAGATCCTGGACATAACATTTTTAAATACTGCCCTACAGATGCTGAGTCTTGCACCTCTGCTGTAAATCCATTTGTATCTCAACAAAAAATATATAGAATGGGCTATGTAGGAATGTTATGTCAATCAAAAAAGATTACGAAGACAGTCTTTATACATAAAATAATCCAATTGACCAATTAAAAAAAAAATCATAGATAAACAGTCATTGGTGAGTAATGAGGTAATTTGCTTACTGGGACTTAATTTAACTTTATCATCATCTTTCTAGCACAGGAGTATAAAATATATTATCCAAATTGTAGAAATTATATAATGAAATCTGGGGGGAAGGGGGAGGTTTGTGTCTACTACCCAGTTCTCATAAATCTTCATAGAGACTGAGCTGGCCATTTCCATTGTGAACAGGGACTGAGAAAGAAAATTCTCTTATATTTGTGAGAGTTTCATCCCCATTTATGTGATAACAAGAAACAGGTTATCTTTGTCTGAAGTATAAACAGGATAAAAACACTTTCAGCAAAGATTCTAAGAATGAATATACTTATGTAATACATATTTAACTTTAAGTTAATTCTTTAAAATACAAAGGGGAAGACAGTAACTGTCATATAACACAAAGTAAAATCCTAATTATGATGGTTTGGAATGGAAAAAAAAATTGGCTATTGCATTTGATTGATGATTTACAATAAAATTTGTAAAATCATGTAATAAAATGCTGTATTATGTTCAAACAAATCTTTCTTTTCTCAGTTAAGGGTGTTGAAAGAAGCAGGATTTCATTCTCACCTTGATACACATGACTAATTCTCATTAAGCTTTATGTGAAACAAAGTAAGTGTGAATGTAGAATGTATCCCAAATATTTTATTGGCTCAAAGTCCCCCAAGGAACAAAAATCCTAACACAAAAGTAGTGTGACTTAATTAAGATTTTAGTGACAATTTCAGCCTTCCATTATTAAGGGAAATATGCAAAGTAACTGGAGATTCGTATTTAAGATCAAGACTAGAAATGCATGGCTCCATAGATTCATAGTAGAATAATGGCTTTTTTAAAAAAATATACACTAATTCATACTGTTACTTTGTTGTGCATTAGTCATTATTTCTGTATTTTTCACAGAAAATTAAGACATAGAAGAAAAAAGGACTAACAAAGAGTTGACCCCAAAAGTAATAGAAAATACTACTGATAGTTTTGTACTCCGAAATTCTCAATGATTCAGTTTCCCTTCACTGTTGTGAATGAAATCCTCAATTCTGAAGAAATCATCATAATTTTGGGAGACCTCTGAATAGCTAGTCCCAAATTCTTGAATTCTCATGTACAATAAATTTCTATAGTGTCATTAAAATCCATGAAACTACACCAGCTAAAATCAAGTGAGTAGCTATCTGGCCTATGAAGATTCAGAATCTGTACATAACTGCTTTATGAGGTTTTATGTAATAGCTCGATTAGTCTGTTGATATCCCAGGATAGGATGATGGGTGCTTCTCTGACTGACCTTGAATGTCACTTTAGAGAAGACTTTTAAAGCAGTTATAACTCAGTCATATGGTGCTACCTGGTGGATGACAATCGGAAATAAAAACTGAACAGGACTTTTTTGGTTTTTGTTTTTTGTTTTTTTACCACGTTTGTTTCAAAGAAGATAGATGTCTACAATCTTTAAAGATTCTCAAGACACACAATTTAGATATTCAGGTTGCCTGAGCATGGTTATACAACAATAGATAATTACATGCATATTACAGAATAAATGAAAAACCCTTTAGCTTTTTGATAAGTTTCATTTATGAAGGACTGATAATGAAAATTCTGAGCCAAACAGATGGTTGAAATCAAGAGATATATGGTACTAAATGAGGATTTGGCCAATTATAGACATCAGCAAGACATTTCATACTGTTCTCCTATTACATAAACACAAATGCAAACATATCCAGGGAGTATCTGGCAGGTTTTGAGTGAGATAGATATTACTTTCTGAAGTTTCTATCTCAATTTTCAGCTGAAGAATTCAGTATAGGTTTGAAAGAACATTTTATTTCATGTTTATATTACTTGAGGCTCTGTGCAATAATCCTTCTTGATTTAATTCATAGAGTTTTTTTAAAAAAAACCCCAAATAATATTGTTTAGCCCTACCACACTAACTAGTTAATAAATCAGAATATTTTCAGGGAAAAAGGGTCATAAGCAGAGATAATGGCATACAAAGAGGTAAAAGATAATGCTATAAAATAATTTTTGTATTATTATAGTAAGGATATTAGAAAATATTTAAAGTACTTTACACACATCTTCACTTAGTCTCCAAACACATTAAAGTCTTCAAACACATCAACAATCACAAAATAAGATGATTGAAATGCTAACTACTTTGAAAGTGCTGTCAAAATTCCTACTTAAGAATAATCAAAATTATGTCTAATACATCCCCAAATGTGTACCAATACAATATTAAAGACCTATGTCAAATGTGAACTGATACACTATTGAAGGCAAAATAAAATACCAGTCTGCATTTAGGTCTACAGGAGCAATTGTGCTTTTAGTCATATTTTCAAAGGTGTGTAGGAAAAGGAAGGGTCACTGGGATTGTCTCATTTAACATCCAAGATCATTGCTTCCCAATGTTAAGTATGTTAGTGTCCTGTTCCCTTCCAGTCTTGCCTCTCTGCCTTCCTTCAAGCACCTCTGGCATTTTAAGATTTATTTTCAAAACCCTTTTATTCTGGCTTTTCTATAAAATATAGTTCTAATTAAAAAAAAACAAAAAAAACAAAAACTCAAGCACCTCATCTCCCCAGTTTGTATCCACCAAGATAAACACACTAGCTTTTCATGTGACTGTAATCTAATTGTTCTTCTTTTACAATCCCTCTCTGTCCCCTGCCTGTGTTATCTCCTGTTGTTCTTGTACTTGCCTAGACTGTAAGCTCTTAGGGGGCAGGGAATCTGTCTTTGATTTGTTCTATGTAGCACCATGAACTATGGAGCTATATAAATAATAAAAAAGTAGATCTTCTTAAATGATGTTTGAAGTGACAGTGATCTGATTGACTGCCAGACTAGTAATATATTGTTTTAGCTCATTGCCTGAAATCCTAATCACTACAGCACTATAATAATAATAATAGTAATAATAATAACAATAACAATAACAATAACAATAATAACAATAATAAAAAATAAAACCAGTCCAAAGGAACTATCACACTGACTCATCTTACTGGAAATTTCCATACATGATTGGGTATAGGAATATAGAACTTCATGTTCACAGATATTCTATAAAAGTTTTAATATGAAATCAGCTATATTAAAAATTGAAAAAGTAGGTTAAAATGTAAAAAGAAGGGTTATATGCAGGATGAACTTTATGAAAAAGACTTTTAATTGTTTTAATCCTGGAAAAGCTATGATTAAGCAATTTTTTAAGTTGATCACCAGGCACCTTGCTTTCCTTCATTGTATCTACCCACTTAGATCAACAATGCTCTCATTGTCAAAATCTATGCCAATCCTATTTTATTAATTATTTTATGGAGATAATTTGAAATTTTCTATGAAAGAATAACCTAATTAACTAAAGAAAAAAAAAAAAAGAAAAAAGAAAAAAAAACAACAAAACAACAAACCAAACCTCGAAGAAATACTTCCTCTTGTTCCTATCCAACAACACTAACTTTCTATGACTGCTGGAATGACAGAATTGTGGGAACTTGAGAAAAATGGTAACTGTTGATAAATAAAGAAAACAATTGATGCATCTGATCTTGAAGAGAAATGTATCAACTTTCTCTTTTATCTTTTTCTTCCCCAAGGAATGCCATTCTATATTGATGAATTTATTTTT